AGCAAATCTCCAAGGACAGAGAAGAGCACCCACACCCACTGCCCCCTCCCAGAACAGCTGCCACCTCCGCTTGGGTGTCTGCAGGCCGGGGGGGCCGGTAGAATCAGCAGAGAGGATCTGGGAGTCAGGACACCAGGGTTAGCAGCTTTGTGGCCTCAGTTTCCCACTTTTGTTCAGTGTAGGGGGCAGAGTTTCCGCCAGGCAGTTTTCTCTCCTACCCTCGTGAGACTGTTCCTGGCAGCAATGAAGGGCTAAGGGAGGGCACAGGACTGGGCCGGTCCCCAGGGCCCATAGCACTCCAAGTGACAAAAGTCCCTGCTATTCTGTGATAGACACTGGACAGGGGTGGCAGATATTCACACACTGATTTGACATATCAGCACTGGGGAACAAATGATGCATGGGACATACAGTAGTCCCCCCCTTATCCACGGGGACACATTCTAAGATCCCCAATGGATGCCTGAAAACTGCAGCTAGTATCAAACCCTATACATACTGTTTTTTCCTATACATACATACCTATGACAACATTTAATTTATAAGTTAGGCACAGTAAGAGATCAACAACAATAAGATAGAACAATTATAACAATATACTATAATAAAAGTTATGTGATTATGGCATTAGTAAGTAAGGGTTACTTGAACACAAGCTCTGTGATACCGTAAGTCGATATGATAACCAAGATTGCTTAGTGACTAAGGGCGGGTAGCGCATGCAGCATGGATACGGTGGACAGAGGGATGATTCATGTCCGGACTGGATGGAACGAGGTGGGTTGAGATTTCATCACAGTACAGAACAGTCTGCGATTTAAAACTTATGAATTGTTTATTTCTGGAATTTTCTATTTAATAGTTTCAGACCGTAGTATACCATGGGTAACTGAAACTGTGGAAAATTAAACCACAGATAAGGGTGAACTACTGTATTTAGTCCCTGTCTAATAGAATAGGGGGGCATGACTGAGGGTGGGAGGTCTGATGGTGAGGGTCTGAACCAAGGGGCATCCCAATCTCTGCCCAGCTTGAGCCCCTCGCCTCAAGCCTAGGCTCCTGTGACCAGGCAGGGCTGAGGACTGCCCCCAGAGGCAGGGGACCAGCACCCGCATCCAGCCAATCTTTCCTGGGAGAATCGAGTGTACATTCATTAATTTATTCATTCCACAAATGTTTACTGAAGAGCTGCTCTGAGCCTGGCACTGTGCCTAATGAGCAAAAACAGACCTTGTCCCTGTCTTCATGTGGCTGACAGGCTCATCGCAGGGAGGGGCAGGATTCAGATGGTCCCACAGACATAGGGCAGCATGACAGCTGTGAGCAGTAAAGCAGAAGATGCTTAGAGTGACAGGGAGAAAGGGAAGGCTCTTCTGAGGAGGGGAGGGTTTGATCCATAATGAGAAGGAGGTGGACCTCGCCAGTGTTCCAGGAGGAAGAAAAGCTGGAGCAAAGGCCCTGTAGCAGCAGAGGAAGGGGTTTAGTGACAGACTGCTGAAGAGGCCACGCGGCTGCAGGAGGACCAGGCAAGGAATGATGAGGCAGAGCCAGACCACCATGAAGGGCTGGCTCTTGGGGGCCACAGAGCCTTGATCCTAGGTGCCATGGAAAGCAGTTAAAGTCTTCAAGCAGAGGGTCAAGCAGGTTCTGAGGTGGGCAGGGAAGGGCAGGGCCTACTTGGGAAGGCTTGGATTGGAGATTAATACAGAGTTCAGGCAAGGGACGGTGGTGGCTTACACCAAGGAGGGGGCAAGTGGACAGACAAAAGATTTTGGAGGCAGAATTAGTGGCTGGGTCCTAGATTGGATGCAAGGGCAGATGGCGGGGGAAATAGCTTGAGCAATGGAAGGATGGTAGGACCACTCGCCAAATGGGGACACCTTTGAGGGCCAGGTCTGGGGGGGAGGGTCTGGAGATAGAGAATTTGTTGGATCCCATGTGCCTTGGGGACATTCGTGTCCCGGTAGGCGAGAGCCCTGGGGCTGAACAAAATGTCACAGCCCAGAGATGGGGAAGGAGACCCAGAAGGCACAGCGGGAGAGGCGGGAGGAACACCAGGCCCGGGAGGGTGTCCTGGAAGCTGAGAGAAGCCCGAGGGGAACGCGAGGCTTACTTCTAGCGGAGTGGCTATGGGCGAACTACCTTTATGAGCCTTGGTTTCCTTCTCTGTAAAATGAGGTAACACGCCCACCTCACCACTGACTGCGGCCCAGATGGGATGGGGAGATAAGGAGAAAGCGTTCTGGACAGTAATGAAGTGTCGAACAGACGTGGTGTTGGCTCCGTGGGCACCGCCTCCCTTCAACCCCATTCCCAGGGCCGCGCCAGAAGCGGGTTGAGGACCCGAGGGCGCGGCGGCCCGGGAGGCAGAGCTCGCGTTAGGACCCAGCGGATCCGGGGCTGGA